CTTTCGAGCCCATTGGGGGCCTCTTGGTTTCTCGGAGGGCCTCTCGGGGTGCCTCTTGCGAGCCCATTGGGGCCTCTTGGGGGCTTCTTGGGGCCTCCTGAAATTTGGGGCCACTTGGGGGCCTCTTGGGGCCTCTTGGAGGATCTCGAGACTGCTGAGGAAGAGGTGAGGGTACACCGCGCAGCAAACAGGCTGGCCAGCCCCACAGGCCAGTCCTCGGAGCACATCATTGAAAGTGCAAGCGGCTAGCTGGGTGATCCAGTCTGGAGCGCATGCACACCCAAGGCAGCGCAGGACTTTCACGCCCATAGTTCACCAGCTAGCTGCAAGAAGTCCACACAAGATATCTTGTGGTGCCCCAAACAGGCCGCCGACGAGAGCATTGAGGGAGAGAAAGAGAAGAAGAGGCGAGGGAAGGAAGGAGAGAGGGAGCAGAGGGGGGAGGGTAGAAGAGAAAGGCAGATGAGAGGAGTGCAGAAGAGGCCCCAGAGGGAGGAGGAGGAGGAGGAAGAGGAGGAGGAGGAGGAGGAGGAGGAGGAGGAGCTGGAGGAGCTGGAGGACGACGAGGAAGAGGTGGTAGCTGTATGCTATCGTCCAAGCCTGACATATGCATGAAAATGCGGATGCATGCAGTCGCGACACAGTCGCGACATTGCCACCTCGAGCTCGAGCTCATGACTCCTCCTTGCCATCCGTGGCATGGAGGTCGGCAGCGGCGTCGACGCCATCCGCCGTGTCGAGCTGCGCCTCCGCAGCCCTCATCTTGGCCTCGAGCTGCCCGTCAAAGACAGACGTCGGCTTCTTGATGTTCTCGCCGAGGATCCTCCGGGCCTCTAGCAAGTCCTCGTTGAGTGAATCAGAATCACCTTTGATGGAGTGGAACTTCTCGACCACGTCCGACAAGGTTGGTCGGTCGCCTTGCAGCAGCTCGTGGAAGGTAGCAAGAGCAGACGTCACCTTGGGCTCGCTGATCTTGATCGCATCAATCACCGACTGCTTGAACTTATTCTGGCAGGTATCCAGCGCCTTGAGCACCCGGTTGATGGCCGAAATGTCAGCCGACAACTTGTTGATCACCACCGTAGTCAGAGAACGTGGGGAAAGGTTGGCAGGCTTCTTGGCAGCCTTAGGAGCCGACTTGGCCTTGGCCTTGGCTTTGGCCCGCGTCGGGCCCGAGTCATTCTCGGTGTGGGGCTTCTCATCCTTCTCGATGCCTCGACCTAAGCTCCTCACCATATCTGCTGCCATCCCAGCATTCATCTCATCAACGTGGCCCGTCAGAGTCGCGCTGGTCTGGCGAGCAACCTCGTCCTTGTTGCCCTCGATGTTGGCGAGTGGAACGTAGTAGATGTTGAACCTCTTGTCCCGCTTGTGCTTGGCGTCATCGCTGCACCTCTGTTTGGCGTGCTTCAGCATGTCGTTGCAAAACTGCATCGTCTCCTCACTCGCGTGGGCATGGTACATCGCATACACTTGAAACTTAGTTGCCCATATCATGGTCTTCTCCCTGTAGACCGACTTCGTCCTGGTGTGCCTCTCCTGGATGACCATGACCGCGCAGCTCGTATCCTGCACATACGCCTGTAGAAAGGCGAATTTGCTGGCGTTCTTCTTGGAGTCAGCCTCCCACTTGGCCACGATCTCTGACGGGATATTCGGGCGACTGAGCGCCCGTGAGATTGCAGAGTGCAATTTCTTCCGCAAGGCCACGTCCACGTCACCAGGCACGACCGCTGCCAAGATCTGCTCCTTGACCTGAGAGGCCCAGTGGAGGTGGAGGAGAAGGAAGAAGTGGAGGTGGAGGATGTGTGGTTGGTGTGGTTAGTGCCCACGCCCGACGTCGTCGGGCACGATGTACGTCTTTCCCTTGATGCCAGCATCACGCACGTCCGCCTCGACCGCCACCGCGTCAGCGCCCCGCGCAGCACGAGGCCCGTCATCTGCGACTCCAGCTGCATGAGCTTCGTCGGCACGGGCGTCATCGCATGGCTGGTCCGTGAGCTGATCCTCGGGCGCCGGCGCCTGGAGATCGTGGGCGGCGGCGGCGGTTGATGGCGCGGGCTTGGACGGCTCTGGGAGCGCACATCCTGGTCCGACCTTCCAGCCAGACTTGATGGCCTCGAACGTATCCTCTGGCACAGTCTGAGTGGCTATGTCATCTGAGGACTCCAACATCATTGGGGAGATACTCGGCACCATCTTGGCCCGTTGCGGCGGAGTGACGTATGCTGACCCCGCAGACGACGGGGCTGGCGAACACACTGGTACACATGCTGACCTTGCCGACGACGGGGCTGAGGAACACACTGGTACACATGCTGACCCTGCAGACGACGGGGCTGGCGAACACGATGGAGTAGCACCCTTAAGGTGACCGAATCTAAAAAACAAGAGGTGGACTGATAAGTCAATTCACTCGTAACCCAACTCATTGGGCACGGATGAGTTAACACTTAGCCGTCCACCCATTGTGGTTTAGTGCGGTGACCTTCCGCTTCTTGGGGAACCCAGCCTTCACTGCAGTGGGCGACGCTTGGACTGGAGTGAGAGGGCCAGCTGCATCCAACATGAGCTCCTCGATCTTAGGCTCGACCAGAGGGCGGACGATTGATGCTTGAATCTCCTGAAGCGAATCCTGCTGCTGCATCTCGTCGTCCATGGCAATCTCTGGCTTGCGCGAAGGGCGGGGGGCACAGGCTTTCGCTCTCTTGACGGGCGGAGCGCCCATGGCGCGCATCTTCGCGTAGAGATCCATACTGGGCGAGGTGAACAGTCGATGCCAGCAACGCTGGAGGAGCCACAACGGCTGTGTCTGTCCGAAATGGCCGACGACCGCAACGTCAAAATCTGAGCGCCTGGGCCGTTCAAAATACCCGGTAAATACACGAAAAATACACGGTCGGATATTGCATTTTCCCTGTGTTTTTACAGTAGGTATCGCAAACGTGTATTACACGGTCTGCAAAATGCACGAAAAATACACGGTCCCAAACTTGAGCGTTTCTCTGTTTGATTGCAGGGAATTCGCTGTCAAGCTATAGAATTGGCAGTCAGGCAGCTCCACATCCAAACGAAGCAACCCACGTGGAGAGACACGCACAGACTTTAGGGCCCAGGAGGCCGTGGAGACGCGGCATTGCAGCAGTGCGAGGCCATGTCACAAGGTCTTACGAGGTACACGTTTAGGAACAGATGTCCAGAGATCACTTTCTACTCTACTACACCACTACTACTACTACTACTACTACTACTACTACTACTACTACTACTACTATTACTACTACTGCTACTACTACTGTATACCACTACTACTACTGCTACTACTACTACTACCTACCTACTACTACTACTACTACTACTACTACTACTACTACTACTACTACTACTACTGCTGCTACTACTACTACAACTACTACTACCACTACTACTACTACTACTACTACTACTACCACTACTACTGCTACTACTACTACTGCTACTACTACTACTACTACTACTACTACTAGCTACTACTACTACTACTACTACTACTACTACTACTACTACTACTACTACTAGTATCTACTACTACTACTACTACTACTACTACTACTACTACTACTACTACTACTACTACTACTACTACTACTACTACTACTACTACTACTACTACTACTACTACTACTACTACTACTACTACTACTGGGCATCGCAGGGCGCGGGCACGCACGGCCGGCCTGCGCAGTGAAGAAGTTCACCACGTAAACGGATCGGGGGGCGGGGGCCGCGACCGTGGCGGCAGCAGCAGCAGCACAGCAGCAGCTGAGCGTCCTGCGAACGAATCGAACGAGGCGTCACGGCCGCCACCCTGCGACCGAATCGAAAAGGAACGAGGCGTCACGGCCGCCACCCTGCGACCGAATCGAAAAGGAACGAGGCGTCACGGCCGCCACCCTGCGACCGAATTGGAAAAGGTTGAGAGGAAGGAGGTGGAGGAGGACAAACACAAGGACAAGTAAGGGGATGGAGGATAAGGAGGGGAGGATAAGGAGGGAGGAGGAGCAGTGTTGCTAAGCTAGCACTCGCACCCCATCAAACAAGATTCGCTGCACGTAGCAGCGCCCAGGTCCGAGGGCCATGATCCACCACGAACCCTCACATTCGAAGCAAAAGCGAGATGTGCTGACATTGATCGCAGCACCATCTCCTGAAACTAGGCTGCTTGCATCAACGGGCACCGTGTGGCTTGAGAGATCCCTTAAGTGTATCTAGTTGATATGAGTTCCCTTGTGCACAGATTGTCCTTATGTGTGCTTCCCTTGTGAATGCAGTTGCCCTTATGCATATTAGCACTAAATATATGTATCATGATGTGCCCTTGTGTAGTTTATACATGTATGTGCCATGTATGCATCAGATGTATCAGTATGCATCGTATCAGTATGTTTGCCTATCTACCAGATGCGCATCTTTATTCGTATATGTTCATATCCTCACGTATCAGTATCTTTATAGTTCCTATATGTATCCGATATGGTTCATACCTTTATGTGTCCTGTGTGTACACGTATGTATAGTTTCCTGTCTTGATGTCATTGTCAAATATGTATGTCCATGTTTAGCCAGTATGGCTTAAGTTGGGTTCAAAGTTGGCCCCTCAAGTATGAGCTGGCAGGGCTCCCGGCTTTACAAGGAATCGATGTTATTCATCTCTCTCTATATATATATACATATGTGTGTGTCCAATGTCCTTATATCTAGTTGGTGCACCTCCACCCCTCATGTCCATCATGGGGCCATCATATGTACCACCAGTGTCGATGTCAGGATGTGGCTGACGTGAGCCAACACGCGGCAATTGAAAATCCAGCAGGCAAAGACTCGCACTGCCACGAGGCCACGTGCAACGCGCACGCTGCGACAGCGTGCGCACCCAGAAGCGAAAGGTCACTTTGAAACGATCCACGCCTCAAAGTCTGCAAAACACTCCCCATCATCTATCTCAATGTCAAGCTTAAGCTCTAAGAAAACTCCAAAGTCCAGGCGGGCTCCTGATGCTTGTAGGTCCCCTCGTAAGTAGTATGGAAGATTAGCCCGATAGCAGCTCCAAACCCCAAGGGGTACTCGGCAGAGTCCTTCAGGCCAGGCCCACCCGACGCGCGTTTCTTCCCGTCGGTCCCCACGACAGATGTTGTGGTAGGGGGGGGGTTCTCTAACGCCATCGCCTCCCGGTCAAACTTGTCCACTTTCTTCTCGAGCCGTTCGAGGCCTGGAGGTTAGGATAGTGCCCATCTACTTTTGGAGGGAGGGGGCGTGCACCCGATGATGGGCACGAGGGAGACGTGGGGAAGGGGACATACAGGAATTGGGCGAGGTGGGGGAGAAGGGAAATCAGTAGAATAACTGGGCAACCCGTTCCATGTTTCCACTACCCGGGACCAGGCAAGTCGCCCTTGAAGACGAGCCCCTTCCTCGTCGGTGCACCGTACGCCCCCATGTCAGCTTTTGTAGACCTGGCAGATATGTACTTGAGCATTCTCTGCACAGGCACCATGTTCCAAAGGATTGAGCTTGCGGGCTGCTCGATCACCACATGGATGCCGAGGGCGGAGGCGAGCACAGCCAAATAAGTCATGCGCGTGACGAGGGCGTTAGCTTGCTCCGTGCACGCTGACCCCATCCCTTCTGGACGCTCAACGCTTCTCTGTGTTGACCCCCTGGACACCCACACCCACGTCCCGCATGGGGGTGCCATGAAAAGCAAGCTCCCCGCCTTCATGACGAGCAGGGCGCGCAAACATAAAAGGAATCCGTGTGTCGTGCTAAAGTCGTGCCGAAGATCTTCTTCAATATCAACTGAAATGCCATGATATCCGAAGTGGGCAATACCCCGGGACACAGCTTTTTTACCACTGAATATTTCCATGATGTCGTGGGTCCTAGGAGGTAAATCAAACGATCCCCCTGGTCCGAGGTGCGCTGCCGCCATGAGAAGAGGGAGCAAAACTTGGTGGGCAAGCATTCTGGGGATCGCACGACCCCGCAACAACAGTGAATCTTGGCCCGAAACGGCACTGGTGCAAGCACGTACGTTTCTACATGTTCTCCTGCATTGTCCACGGGGGGAGATCGAGGAGGAGGAGGAGGAGGAGGAAGAGTTGAGTCTCCACAGCTTGCACCCCGCCGAACGATCGCTGCACGCAGCAGCACTGAGATCTGAGGTACCACGGACCCTCGAAAGCAAACGCCGTGCTTACAACACGGCCCACTTGAAACTGGGCTGCATACGTCGCGCTGCATGCTTCAGCAGTTGGGGAGGAGGGCAAGGGAGGAGGAGGAGGCGAATACAGAGGTATGAGGGGGATAAGAGGATGAGGAGTTCTGCACAGTCAAAGCTGGCAGTCAATCAAAACGCAGCGGCCTATGCGTCCGCCGGCCACTTGGCAAACTCTTTCGCCTTCGCGAAGGCCTGCACAGGGCCGCCGTGATGGCTCCAGGTGATGTGGCGGGTGGCTATGTCCTCGCCCCCAACAATATAATAATGAGGCGTTTTGGCGAGCGAAATATTGCACTGAATACGGGCTGCCTTCTCATCGTCGATTCTCAACGTCCACGATTGGCTCTTGGGATCCGTCCGGCACTTCAGCACTTCCTCGGGGAGCAAGGGGAGGAGCTCGAGGTTCGGGCCCTTCTTGGCCTGCTTGGCTGGCTTCTCGGGCGTGTCCCCCTCGGACATCTGCGTCGTGTCCGCTGGCTTCTCGGGCGCAGGCGTCTTCTCGGACATCTTGGCCTTCTTGGCTGGCTTCTCGGGCGCAGGAGCCTTCTCGGACATCTTGGCTTTCTTCTTGGCTGGCTTCTCGGGCGCAGGCTCCTCGGACATCTTGCTCACGGCTGGCTTCGACTGCGCCTTCGCCTTCCTCAACTCCGCAGCGCTCAACCAGCCATCGGGGAGCTCATGCGTCTCTGGCCCCTCACAAGGGCGAACTGCAGCAACGGACTTGGCATTCTTGATTGCCTTGGAGATGGCGGAGGAGGCTTCCTGAGGGATCTCCACGGCGTCGGCCTGCGTCTCCACAACCTCTCGGAGAGGAAAAGAGAGATGAGCAACGCAGTGAGCTAAGATGCCGAGAAGGAGCGAGGAAGGAAGAGGTTGATGAGGGGGGCACCGGCTTCCAGCCGAGGAAAGAGTTCCCTGGGCCGAAGCACATCACCATCTGCGAGGAGAATACAGATAAGGAGGAAGACGAGGCGGAGGGGGAGCAGAGGAGGTGGAGGAAGGGGGGAGGGGGGAGGTGGGGGGAGAGGTGGGCGATGAGAAGTTTGGGGATGATGGCAGAAGAGGACTGCATTTGACCATGAATGAGGTCAAGTTCGGGACGAGGAGGCCGAGGCGTGAGGAGAAGGGACGACGGGTAAGAGGAGAATAGGCGTGACCATGAGGAAGGGTGACGTTTTGGAGCAGGAGGAGGGTAGAAGGAGATCTGGAAGGAGAGCTGGAAGAGGAGGTCGAGGAAGAACAGGGCGCGAGCCTTCACACGATGAGTCGGGGTGGGTCAGCCTAAAATTCTTGCAAGTCACCCTCCTGGGAGCAGGGGCGGTGGCATTGAGCAAGGAGGGGGCGGAAAGGGAGGGGACAGAGGATGAGAGGGAATATGTGGGAGTAGAGAGAGATGAGGCCTCGCCCAAGAAGTCTTCGTGAAGGAAGTGCATCGGGAGATGCAGCATTCCATCCTTTTGGAGGAGAGGTAGGAGGAGGAGGATGAGGAGGCGGAGTAAGAAAAAGGATAACATGTAGGAAGAGGGTGCAGGACGAGGACCAGGATAAGGACGGGGATGAGGAGGTCCAGGAGGAGGGGGAGGATGAGTGGTGCACAGTATTATCAAATATAGTCCTGGGGATTCGCCTGTTCGGTGGCACTGTCGTGCAGCTCGTGGTCGCCGGGGCCGGGCATGGTGTCGGACTCCCCGCACAGCACGTGGAAGACGATATGCGGGGTCACGGTGATCTCCTGGCCAGGCTCGAGTGGGGTGTCGCAGATGTGGCACTTCGCGTCCGGGTCCTTCTGAGGCGTTCGCGTTTCGATCGCGACTCGCCCAGGGCAAGGGCAGCCCTTGTCCTGGGTGAGTGGCGATCGAAACGCGACGAGGACTGGGGCCGAGGAGGGGAGGAGGAGGTGGCGGAGCAAGATGGGCAGGAAAGAAAGGAGGGGCACCGATCGAGAGGTTGAGATCACGAGGGACGGTTGGCAGAGAAGGGATAGGGAGGATGGGATCAGGAGGCACTGCGAGGATAATGAACTTAGGTGGGGAGGTGGTTGAAACGGCGGTTTACTCGCCAAGTCCTCAGCGAGCACGTGGTCGCTCATGCAGATGAGGGGCGGGCGGCCTTCGAAGTCATCATCATCTTTCGCCTCGCAGTCCGAGACGATCTCGATCGCAGCTGGCTCGCTCGGCAAATCGGCCTCTGCCTTGTTGTATGCTGGGGTGGGTGGTGGCTCGGAGTCGTCGTCGGGGTCGGGCATCTCAGCCTGAGGGGAAGGCGGTTGCTCGTTGCCCCGAGGTGTTCGTCGCTTTTCTGAGTTTCGGCAGGTCTGTTAAAACAAGCGGCCCGAAACTTCGAAAGACCACGGACACCACAGGGTAATGAGCAGGAGGGATAGGAAGAAAACAAGAGTGGGAATTGCTGATTAAAGAAGTTCAGGATCAGCAGCCTCGCGATCCAAGATCTCTGAGTCCGAAGAGCCGATCTCGTCCGACTTGGGCTTCTTGGGCTTGCCAACCGACTGCTTCTGGATGCGGGTCTCGGGATCGATCGACAACTGGCTCACATCGACCGATTGTTTTCGTTTCTCCTGTTTGCGCCAGCGGCAGTATATGGTCTTCCCTATCTTGGCCTGCGTGGTCACCCAGGCCTTGTACTCTGTTTTGCTAGCGTTGGCAGCCTCGCCCGAAATACGTTTCATGAAATGCCCATCCACCATCATCACGTAGCCCTTGAAGTTTAGAAGGGCGGGATTGGGGTTCTCGCCGACCGTGGTCTGGATCGCGTCCAGGTGGGCGGTGTTGTCTCTCGCGTGAAAACTGCCAGTGGAACCACGAGAAATAAATATGCGATGTTGCAGTTCCATCTCGTGCAGTAGGTTCGTCAACATTTCATTCTTCAAGATATTCTGGAGCATTGGATCCATACAAGAGAGTAACAGAAGAGCCCGATATAACATGCAGGTGCTCCAGCTCAATGCTTGAGTCTGAAACGTTATGGGGAAGAGTTGTGAGGGAGGAAACGTTCCGAGAATCATTGGGGCCCTCAGAACTGGAGCCTGTACAGGAACTCTTTCTCAGAATCGAGCGAGTCGGCTGGGGTCTTGGGAAACGAGCGACAGACTCTGGGTCCATTGAGCCGACCTGTGGAGTCGCCAGGCGTTTGCCTGTGCATTCGTGGCCTCTTGGGGTCCTCTGGGGGGCCTTTTGGGGGCCTCTTGGAGCCCCACCTGCTGGCCAGAGAGAGCACACGAATGGGCATATGGTTGAATTGAAAAATATGTATATTTGTATTTAGTTATATATAATGACATATCGATAGACGAAGAAACATATATATATATATATATATATATATATATACAAAGTGGCAGCCGCTTATCCGACACACGCGAGAGGCCGCGATCGAATACTTCGGGCCGCAAGACTGAGGGACGAGGGGTACGTGGCATGCGGCTCCACGCCATGCCATCTGCCCTCCGCCTGGCGAGTATAACTATGCAGTTTGATACTTATATATGTATGTATATGCACGTACGTACGTATAGTATGTGTGTATGTACGTGTCAAGTTATAATATATATATATATATACATGTATGTATAGATACAGAAATGCGAACACGCGTTCACCACCCACACGTTTTTGTTTTTTTGTGTCAACGGCGACGTGGGACGAGAGGGGTCGGGCAGCACGTATACGCGCACACTTTTCTTTTTGGTTTTTAACATGCATAGAAAGCGGACATGGACAATCGCAAGCAAAACCCGCGGCGTAGACGAAACACATCTAAACGAAACGGGCACCCACGCACGCATGCCCGCGGGCACGCGCGCCCATGCACAAAAAAAGAGCGCACACCTAGGTCCGCGCAACCAAGGCGGCGCGCGCGAACTAAGTTACATGAGCGGGCAAGCAACCAAAGGGAACCAGCAACCCAGTGCAAACAGATAGACCCAGCAGTCGCAACAAGCTTCGGCACGTCTGCCATCGGGCCTTGACCACTTTGGGCCAATCGGCGCCCTCCTCCATCTGGACGCGGCGTGCCTGGACTCGTGCTGCGCCAGCCACGCGCAGCGCGCGCAAACCAATTTCACCCTGCCAAACGTATAAAGATCATTGATCTGGATTGGATTTCACGGATTCACGCAAATATGCGCCGACGCCGGCACATCATCGTTGTCATGCCGGCACAACCCCAGATTTTTGACAAACCCCCGGATTGTGACACTTCGGGGCCACCTGGAAACCAACCGCTCGCCAGGGACCCTGCTCGCGGCTGCAGTAAGATCTGACTCCAACACACGCTCGGTGGGGGCACTCGCGGCCTGGCTCGCGGAATATGAGTGGGGCGGCAACGACTTGACACCCCAGCAGGCTGCCCTTTAGCTGCGGAGGTGGGACAACGACGCCGCGCAGAGACGCGCCGCCCGCCTCACTCCCGCGCAAAGGGGCCCCGGGGTCGAGCGCCCCGCTCTCGCCTCCCACTACCGGACAGGTCGGGATATCTTCGTCAGGACAGACGCCATCCTTGGAGTGCGTGACGCGGACGGAAGTTGGAAGGAGCGCACGAAGGAAGTCGACGATGTTCTATGGCGGAGCCGAAGTCCGATCTGGCAAACCGCCCCTCCCCTTCCCCCTGCTGCGGACCGTATTCTCGACGAA